CTATCAAAGAAACAGGAAAAGCCTGTCAACAGAGAAGGAATGCTGGGCCAATGCACAGTGGAATGCTGGGCCTATGTGCAGTTTAATCCATATTCTTGTCTTCTTTTGTAAATATATTTATTAATAAAGTTGGAAAAGATTCTTTCCCTTGAATTCTAACCTTGGCACTCAGTCAGGGTTTTGCTGAGAGGAGTCAATTACGGTGACCCTTCCACAACCATCAATCAGGCTCAATAACCCTGGTCCACTTCCATACTGCTGCAGAGATATTCTAATGCAGAAGAAATTTTAAAAGGCTGCTTGCTCATTGATTGCTTTAAAATTTTATACAAGCCTGTTTATTAATGATTTGGTAAATTTCCCCTTAAATTATAATATTTTGTAATAACACAAATACCCACCAGTAACAACAACATGACCCTCACCCACAAAAAGAGTAACAACCAATTCAACATTTAGAACTAAGTCCTTGGAAACAGACCTATTCATACGTCTGTCTCTATAGATGCACAGTGTGAAAGAAGGAAAACAAAACAGAATGCTGATCTATAACAGACCAGGCAGCATTAAACAGTGAAAGGACTTGTCTAGGAGCTGGGCAGCTCGGACTCAGGGCACGGGATCTGCCATTAGGAAGTCACATGGCTTTGGGTAATTCTCCCAACCAAACTAGGACACTAACTTTTTTGTTGTTATAAAAGTAAAATTATCTAAGGTCCCCTTCAAGTTATAAAATATTACATTTTTTCAACCCATAAGTCTCTAAAATTACAACTTCTCCAAAGCAAAATTCCTAGGATCAGTACACGTGCTTCCGTTTATTAACCCTGAGTAGACACCTAAGACAAAATGAAACTCTGTCCACCTACAACCCCCTTGGGTGAAGTCAAAGAACACTAGATGATGTGTCCCATGGTCTGTCCTAGCTACTGGCAGTGTGTGTGTAAGTGGGGAATGACTGTCTTAGGAGTCCTGGAGGAGGAAGATCTGGAAGAGAAGCTCAGCCTGCTCCTCTGAGATGCATCTGGTCCTTACCAGGATTTGGTCCTTTGCCTTCAAGCAAGGTCTCACAGTTTCACCACGCATGAGACACAGGTGAAATTTGATCTAAAGACAACCTGACAGATACCACTGTCTAATCTGCAGCTAAAACATTTTAATTAAACTCTGTCCATATTAACGGCTGGAGTCCATGCTGCCGAATGACATCTACCTCCTAGTCTAGAAGCTGAAGCCACATAAGAATGAACCTTTCATCCAGCCCTTCCTGTGCTCGCCACACATGCTTGTCTCTACCTTCACTGACACACCTTCCCTGTGGCATAGCTTCCCAGCCCAAATCACCTAACTCCTGGTACTTGCCTCAGAAAGTTAGGTTGGGGGTACAACGGGATCGTCTTCATACCTATTCTATGATATTTTATCATAATTCACAGTCACCAGGGATGATGATAAAGCAAAAAGACTACAGCTGTGTTCTCTATTGAGAGATACTCCCTCTGAGAGACAACCCAAGCAGAGATGCCTCGAGAACACCCAGCTCACAGGCACACTCCCACTTCAGGGATGCTCACTCTCAAGAACAGCCCTTCCTCAGGGACACATCCCTGGGGATACCATCCTCTCAGGGGCACCCTCTTCTTAGAGACACATAATGCCTAAATACGGACTTAGCAGCCAGTTCCTGTGCTGGATGCTTTAAGCACACAAGACATCATTATCCCTACTTTTCAAAAAATTAAATCAGATGTTAGAGAAAATAAGTAGCTTATCTATATCAGACCAAGCTCTTGTGTTTTGAGACCTTATCTCACTGTGGCAACCACTACTCACAGCCATTTCACATGGAAACACAGCACAAGGTTAAAATGTGCCAGTTTTGAATCTTCTCCTCCCCAGAACTATAAACCTATTGTAGTCATAGAAAATGTCAGCACAGGACAGACTGTTGAAAAGAGATGTTTACTAGAAACCTATAATATGAACAGACTTCTAAAAAGTAAAGCACTGACATTTTTATGCAGCTTTAAAATACTTTACCCTCATTTAACTTTCCCTCCACCATCACCTCCAGACACAGACACACAGGGAGGAAAAAATAACAAAACTAAATTCATAAAACAGATGATTTAGCATTCCCTACCCACTGATAAAGTTGCAAAATGGCAGGCAGATGAACTAAGATGACAAGCAAGAAGAGACAGACGGCTGGATAATCCATACGTAGACAAGGCACCCCAAATGACAGCTGTGGAATGTGTACCATACACAATTTGCCATGTTAGCTCTAAGATGGACCTAAATGTTAAAATAGAGAAAATAAATACTTATAGCCTTGTCAAGTCTTGTCAGCTTCCATCCTATCCACCAAGCACCCATATCAGATCCTTCCTTGAAATCTCAGAAACAAGAAGACAGCCAGGCAGAAGAGTACCTAGGTGATAGGGGTAGAAGACACTGGAAACTTCCCAACCAACACCTCCATTTACAATCAAGGACTCTCTGGGCTAATCATACAACCTGCCAACGTCAGACTAAAGCTCTGTTGATGGGCACTAGCCACTGTCTCCAGAGCTGTATCATCACTATGTCCAGTAGCTACTCTTATACAGTTAACACAGGAAATGTCCACAGCTCACCAATTTGGCAAACCACTAAGGTATACTTTGCCTTCTCTTAAATCCCAAATTACCATTTACTCAAATCATCTGCCTACATCCACAGAAACTAGGAAAATTCACTTAAAATGTATTCCACACGTAGATTTCATAAGGACAGAATACTATAGAAATACCACCATGAAATTAAGGAGAGTAGCCTAGTACCTTCCCCAGAAAGCAGTCTCTTGAGGGCCTTTCATGTAGATGGAGCTGCTGGAATCATTCAGCCCATTTGAATAGCCCATCACAATCCCACCATTGCCATCTGCTGAGACACTCAGGACATCCTGATGTCCTCCCGCAGAGGTCCTCTCCAGGAACTGACCGCCTTCTTTAATGCGCTGCTGTATCATTGGAGTAAGGGGCATTTCAAAGCTAAAGTAGCTATCAGGCTCCGAGTACAGCGTCTCCAATGACTCTGCACTGTAGTATAGAGAAGTGTTGTCCAAAATGGTTTCAAACTGGGAGCTGTACACATCAGTGGAGTCCTCCATATATCCATGCCCAAGGACATCATCATCTCCTCCCCGAAGGTGCTCTTCTTGCTCAAGGATCCTGGAAAGGGAGTAAAAGTGAAGAATTTCAATATTGCGTTAACTTTTCTTTTTCAATTTCCCCCCTTCATCATGTAAAAAAGATAGTGTTGTACTGATATAACTGTTGTGTGCACTAAAGTTATAACTTAATAACATATTTGGGAAGGACGACATGAAATCTATTTAAATTAAAATATTCTTG